GAAATTATGGTTTGAGTGAACATTAGTATTGGTTTCAGGAATCTCATTGAGAAAGATAAAAATAGACAGTAAGTTTGTTTGTATTAGATTTTTTTGTCCAAAGGTTTCTATTTTTTGTTGGGTAATAACACATTTTCATTCTGCTTTCTTTTCTTAGTGTTTATTATTTTTCTTTCTTCTTGATAAATTTCATAAGTAATTCTTTCTTTTCTTAGATAAGTTTCAAGTGTACACCTTGTTCCTTTTTCAAAATACTTTTAATGATGCTGTAATTTTTTGGTCCCATAGTAACGAATGAGACATTATAAAACTAATTGTGATGATGATAACTAAATTTTGATCCTCAAAATCTTTGGTAATACCATCTAATGTTGTAAAACATGTTACAAAAAAAAACAAAAAACAAATTTTTTTTTTTTAAAAATAATAAAAATTTATTATGATAAATAAATATAATAACAACATGGACGATAATAAACATTTTCTCAAAATTTCAGAAGTTCTGCAGGATCCAGGTACCTTGACAAAGTAGACTTTCACTTACACTCATATATATATATTGATTGCATATTTCTTTATTATATAGATGAAAAAAAACGAAACAAAGCACTAAAAAAATTGTGTCTTGCCATAAGAAAACCAGTTACACTTGATCAAAAAGTTGCAATCAATCTATGGAAAGGGTTATATAAAAGTAATAATAGTAATAATAATATTCAATAATTTTCCTTGATCTATATTAATATTTAATAATATATTGATTGTTACTGTTGTTATTACATTTAATGCTCGAATAGCACTTGTATCGTCAAACAATAAGAATATTTGTGATGTTATCGGTAATATAATTGCAAGTTCTCAAGTTAGTAATTTAGAAATATTTGTAATCGAGTTTTGGAATAAGATGTGTTACGAATGGTTGAAGGTGGATAAACATCGGTAAATATCATTATATACATATATACGTATGTGTTTATATATAAATGTAAATTTATATTTCCGCATATATGTATATATAATATGTGTCTATAGAATGGATAAATTATATCTTGTTCAGAGACGTGTCTTAAATGGAATTCTAAATTGTGGAGTTACTAATAATTGGCAAATATTACCAATAATCAGTAATGTTATATCACATTTGATCAGCTCTCAAATTTCTACGATACCAGATGGAATTAAATATCATTTTTGTGATATTTATGTTGATGAATTGATAAATGTTGCAGAACAGGTAATAATATGTTAAAAGAGAGAGAGAGAGTACGCGTGACTCTTGGTGAATATAATTAATAAATTAATAAAATTTTTTGTTTTTGTTTTGTGTATTAAAAAGGAATCATATCAAATTCCGTTAAGTGAATTAATCATCCCATTTGTACGGGCATTAAAGGATATTAAGAACAAGATCTTAATTTCCAATATCAAGGCTGAAGTTTTTAATAAATTAATATCTCAAATTCCTAAAGGTATGTATATATATACACACTAATATGCCATCCAAAACTAATTTGAAATAACAATAATTGAAATAATTGTAGATAATATTTTTCTTAAAGATCAATTGATGGAAATACACGGTGAATTGATAAAGGTTACTGAATCAAAAGAGATTTCTTCAAAAGCTAGAAAGACAGCCAAAACACTATTACAAGAGTTCATAAAAGTAATTGGAAGTTTTAAAATTGTATCATCCAACGACTTAAATAATAATTTTAAAAAACGTAAAATCGAAGAAATAGAAACACCATCAGCTTCTTCATTATCATCGTCATCTGTTGCATCTTTTCCATTATTGCTAACTTCTATTGACAACAATGAATCAAAGAAATGTAAAATCGAGGGTATTGAATCATCAACACAAGAATCAGTAATAGAAATTGCTAAAAATAAAAAAAATAAAGGTAAGAAAAAATCTAAACCAAAAAACAATATTGAATTGTCATCACCTGCAGCAGCGTCACTCATTATATCTACTCCGTTATTACTTACTTCAGTTGATAATAATAAGCTAACAACGATTACGACTACAACACAAGAATCGGTATTAATCTCTGCTAAAAATAAAAAAAATAAAAAGAAAAAATCTAAATCAAAAAAAGCAGAATCACCGGAATCATCAATATCATCTACTATATCATCATCTTCTACATTACTTGATCTATTTAACTCGGTTGATAACAACGAATCAACTACAGAAACAACACAAGAATCAGCCGTAATTGTTGCTAAAAATGATGACGATACGCCACTACTTAATTTACTTGATTCAGCTGACAATAACGAATCAACAAAAATTACAGCCGAAGCAACGACACAAGAATCAGCAATAGTTGTTCCTAAAAAGAAAAAAAAGAAAAGTCAAAAAGCTAAATCGAAAAAAACTGACTCACTTGAATCATCAACGTCGTATGAACCCTTGAAATTGTTTTTATCAAAATCATCGTTATTGTCATTTTCGCCACCGTCATCTGCGTCAAAATCAATACCCTCTTCCTCTTCTTCATATTATAAAAACAATTCTAATAATAATAAACGTAAGTTTGAAGACACCGACTTGTCATCATCCTTATCCTCGGCCTCTTCATCAACATCATCATCAACATCATCATCAACTTCAATAAAAAAAGTTAGATGGGGGGTTAATATGACTAAAGGTAAATAAATATTTTATTAAATATATATATATATATATATATATATACAATAATAATAATATTTTTATTATTATTATTAATTGTATAGAATATGTAAAGGGCAGTACTATTGAAAAAAAACATAAAAATGGCATCAACACACCAAATACACCAACCGCTTCAACTGTTTCAACTACTCTAAATGTTATTAAACCTATACTTAAACGAATTTATACGGATTAGATAGAAATCATTTAGTTTTTCATTATTCTTAATAATTATCAAATTGATATCTCTTTTAATAAAGTAGAAAGGCTAATAATAAATCTTATATATTATAATAGTAGTAGTACTAGTAGGTAAAGTTTTAATAGCGTTATCATTGCTACGATTATCATCAATTCTTTTTCTTTATTTTATTACTATTACTATTATGCAATAATTTTCATAGCAGCTATAGTAATAATCTCGAAAAAAATGGAATTTATATGTATTATCTCGTTTGTAAATTGTTAACAGTTAATGCTTTAACTTTATTCCGATTTTATTGCTTAATATTTTATTTTATTTTTTTTTTATTCAAGAAGGAAATAAAAAAGAAAACTTTTTAAAAAAAAAATCTATATAGTTTTTATAATTTCTAATAACGATGGAGTGATGAATGTAAAGATGAAGATTATGAGATTTTTACAAAAAAATAATAATAATATACAACAATGTAAACATGTGGATGTTAATTAAATTTATCTGTTAGGTGACTAGGAAATACGTTTGCTAGTGGAGTAATAAGAGAATCTTCGTCATCATTTAAATCTACATTATTGTTGTCATCATTTCCAAGGAAATAAACAACGTCTGGTGAAGAAGAAGTAACAATTTTTGAATTTTCACCGTGTACCATAATTAAAGGTGTACATTGTTGACGATTTGACGATGTAATATTATTAGCGGATATTGTTGTATTGGTCGTTGATAATGATAATGGTGATGATGATGACGGTGTGGTGTTGGTATTAAAATCTTTAAAAAATGTAAGTGACTGATTTCTTGTATGAGGTTTTTCTTCTTCACCATTTATAGTATTATCAATATTACTGTTATTTGCACTGCTATTATTTATACTATTTATGATATGTTTATCTTGAAGACAACCGTGCGATGCAGGTTTACGTAATATAGGTTGACCTATACCAAATAAAGCAACTAGATTTGAAGGAGTTTCAGGTCTAGAGATGGATTGATAAGGAAAACTATCGCTATTATTATTGTTTACTATTGTATTGTGAGAGATGGTATTTTGATTGCCGCGAAATGAATCCATTGAACTTTTTCTCGAGTCCAAAGGAGGAGTGTCCAAACTTAAAGAATCCAAAGAAGGACGTCTTGAAGATAGATTTGAATTTGTAGTGGTCGAACCACCAGAAGAACAAAAACTAGAATTCTTTGAATAGAAAGATCTCAAAGAACTATAACTGCCTTGTCTTTTATGCATACCAATATTTGCCAAATCCAATCTGTCCAAAACGATATCAACAATATTTCTATCACCTAAACGTTTTTCCAATAAAGTCATCCATTCTTGCATATCATTTTCACTATCAGCAAATACGACAAATATAGATGGTTTTTTCAAAGTTATTGTTGTTGATGTTGATATTGGAGATATTGAAGAAGAAGAAACAATATTACTGTTGTTGTTGTTGTTGTTGTTGGTTAATTTTGAAATTTTAGATGAACATTTAGATGATGATATTATTGATATAGGAGTGGAAACAGTTGATGAATTTGATGAGGATGATGATGAAATAGTAGCAATATCATGATAAGTACTTAGATTAGAATGAATTGAATCAGATTCTTTTATAACCTTTTCAATTCTAATACAATATTGGGATTTTTTTGTTATAGTAGTATCTTGAGATATTGAATTATATAATGATAAATTTATTACACCAGATGCTTCTTTAACATTCTAATAAACATTGAATCAAATATTTGATTAGCTCCGAGATATTTATTCCACAATATAATTTTATTAATTTGTAATATAATATTATTATTTACCTGATCTCTGTAATAATATAAATTATTTCCTTTAAGTACAAACCATCTACGTTTCCAAGTTTTTCTGATAGCATTACCGCCAAGTTTTGTCAACCAACCAGATTTTATTATTAAATCTTCATTTCCAAAATTCATCATTATTTTCTTTATATTATTGAATATTGCTGCTTGATTGAAACGAAAATAAAAATATGATAATATAAATTATATGATCGTAATAATTAAATTCTATTTATTTATTATCTATTATTTATCTACTTTATTTACTATTATTTTATTTACAAGAAAAAATTTGAGCAGGTACGTATAAAATTCTAAATATGAAAATTCAAAGAAGTATATTATTGTTTTTGTTATTGATATTAATGATGTGAAATGGATTGATTAATGAGAATAATTTTTTGAGAGCGTATGTATATGTGAGAAAAATAGAAAAAGAGAATTAATTAATTGTAGTGAAAGGATAAATTAATATATGATAATTAATTTTAATAAAAAAAAAAAAAAAAAACAGTATGATTTATTAATGAATGAATGAATGAAATTTATATATTTATACTTTTTTTTTTGACGTGATGAAATTATTATTATCAGGGGTAAAATTTGCACGATCTACAAATGTGTGATTCTGGGGAGTCGTAAGTTAACTGCAGAATTTTTCGAACGTTATAAATAGTAGTATGAAAAAATATGAAAACAATCAAATAAAGGTTGAGTGAATGAATGATAAATGAAATAATAAAAATCAAAGGGGAGAAAGGAAATTAATAACATAAGAAAAACAAACAAACAAAAAATAATAAAATATTTTAGGTACAAATATTAGCCGAAATTTTAAATTTGATTTTATTTGTCTTTGTTCTATAATAAGCGTATTGTTAGAAAACTATACATATAATTAATATTTATTATTATTTGTTTATTATTATTTATTTTTGCGATTAAAATTTCTATTTTTCCAACGAAACAAATTACACAAAATTAATTCCTTTAAAAATAATTTACTAACCTCTTACAAGTACAAGTCCTACAAGGGGAGATCCCTCCGCTTACATTTCTCTATCAATGGTGGAGGATTTGCAAACTGCACCTTTAAGGGACTCAATAACTTTACAACATCCGCACGTTTACTAATATATTTCTTGGCGCAGATGACAACCTTATGCCAAGGAATACTCACCGAATTCATGGAATAAATGTTGGTAAAAACGGAGATGTGACCAAGTCAATATTTGCTTCGCGGCTTGGTTAAAACTCATTATTATCTTGTGTTTTAAACTCAAGTAGCACAACTGCATGGCATAATCTTTTTGTTTGATAACAAGATTACGAATTCTCTTGTGAATTCTGAGCATTATATCTTTTACGCTTATTTGCTTTGCCATATGTAATCTTTTACCTTGGATTCTGTCATGATGCAAGTATATTTTATTTATTTCCCCTCTCCCCTCTTCTATAACATCGTTCAATTTGGATATCCAGTCATGAAAGTTCTTACTGAGAAATTATGTTAGAAACCTCTTCAACCATTAAAAATTTAGGTTATGGTTATCAGCTTTAATATCAAGTGGTTTAGGGAGATACAGTACAGCTTCATTTAGTGCCCCGAATACATTATGGATTTCGGGTATTTTCTCCATAATAAGATAATAATAAATATTATCATATTAATTAATAATTAATTATAATATTATTTATTATGTTATTGTTGTTATTATATTTAAATATGGGAGACAAATTTTGTCATTTACCAAATTTATTCCTGAATAGAAATAATTAAACTATAAAAGGTTATTTATTTGTATAGTATATGTATTGTATTTTAAAAAATAATTTTGTATCATTCTTTATTACACAATTTAGAGATAGACTTGTAACATACATCATTTCCAATTCTAACGTCATCAGTCGGGGATATCACTAAATATGGAATTACCTATTTTTACATGATCGACGATATGATTGGTTTAAAAAAATTATTATTTTTAATTAATTTTTGTGCGTTGATTATCCCTTAAACGGAGTTTTTCTGAAGGTGTTAGTATCACTTCGTATATTAATATTAATATAAAAATTTGGTTATTGATTGTCCTTCGGGTTTTTGTAAAATCTTGGTTTGTCGATCATTACAAATAAGGCATACTGCAAAGGAGATTTCAGGGTCCAAATCTAGTCGGAATTGTTTTCCTTGATCTAGAATTATAGTTCTAGATAATTTACAACAGGAAAGTAAGGGATGTTTTAAAATGATAGACAGCTATTTGTTTTTTTTCTACCCATTCCTTATTGTCCCTTTCTTTTTTTTCATCTTGAAAAATAAGCAGAAAATGATTCCAATAATTCATACCCCATTCAGCTAAACCACTCATTATTCAAGGCCAATAATTTCTTTTCAGGAGAAACAAATTTTCTTATTGTTTGTTTACATTCAATGGCTGCTTTTTGGAAGTCCTTATCTTTGAGGCCAGATACTAGGGTTTTTACAGGGTTCAGGTAGAATGATTGATAAATAAATTGCATTGTCCAAGTAATGATAATACCAAGCAAAATGAAATCAAAGAAAAAAGTCATGTAATAATGTCCTGATGAGTGAAATTTGGCAGAATTGGAAAATAAACTTTTGATCTTCTTCTCCATGTATGACAATGGTTCCATCCAAGGTTCTGTGGAAAAATTTTAGTGGTTGAGTCTTAAGGTTTCTGGTACAAACATCTTTGAAAAAAACAATTTTGGCAATAGTTTGGGTTTCTCAATATTTTTTTATAAGAATAAATCAACCTATTTTTAATTTAAAAATAATTTTTGTCCAATTTCATAAAAAATAGTTTGGGCTATAAAAAATTAATTTTTGCCCAGTGTTTTGTCAATTTCATCTACTAAAAGAGGTGGATTTGACTGGAAACTTTAGTTGAGTCTATACATGCTACCAAAATCACAAATGTACAAAGTAAATTTGGGGCAGCCTGTCAAAAAATTCACAAATCTCAATCTGCCTCCCAACCAACAAGTGCCCAGGATTTGTGAAAGTATTTTCTCAAAGCCAAACTGGTTTGGACAACTTGGGCCTTTATAATGAGAAATCAACTGGATAAGAATAATTTTGTCTAATTTTGGCTACTAAGGGAGGTAGTTTGACTTGAAACATTTGTTTAACAAGAGGTTCTAGTGTCCTGTTCATAATATTCTTGAACGAGATACCAGTGTCCTTCCTCATTACCCTGTAAAAAAATATTCCGTTATTTTAATACTCTGCCATAAATTTATAACAGCAATAAATTGAAAAAATACAAGGTACCAGTGATCAGCATAGATGATATCCTTTTTTTAAGGTTGTGTTCTCAGGGATAAAGAAATCCTTCATATCCCATAAATGTCAAAACTTCAATGCGTTTACTAAATATATAAATTAACTCAAAATTTTCCTAGCATCATTGATTCTTTCTTTGTAATGGTGTTTTCTGTTTTAGTGTATGGTTTATTTTCCTATTGTTTATCAAAATAGATTCATTAAAAATGAAAATAGTAGATAATATAATTTACTTTATTATTATCATTGGTCGCCTTTTCTTCAGGTTGCTGCTTTGTATTTTCGCCATCACGTCGAAAAATATAATTTTGACAATGTTTTTCATTTGTTAAAAATTTATATTCGATTAATCTAACCTATTTTTTGTCAAAAGATAGAATTTGGATAAAATTTATTAAAACTATAAATGCTCTTAAACTTCCTCTCTTCTAACAATACTCATCACATGTTGTGCTTTGGCAGCTTCTTTGCTTCTTCTTTTCCTTTGCTGTCGTTAGACATTTTGTAATAATAAAAACATATGTAAAAAAGGTAAATTTATCAATTTATACTTTCCTCCTTGTATAATGAATGATGCGCACTAATATTATCTTCTCGCGTCTTTTTTTTTCCTGAAAAAAAGACAATTGGACATTCATTTGGTATGATTTTGAAAACGACATGTTTTTACTAATAACCAACCAGAGATTGTATTTTTGTATTTATTGGTGCCTCTTTTTTCTTATACAAGAGTCTAAATATCTTGTATAAATGTGGAGCAAAACTTATGTCTTTTACATTATGGGTGATGGGCAATTATACAAGATTATTTATCACCATAAATGATTGCATAACCGTTATTAATATTAAACAATTATAAGAAATGTTTGAGGCGAGAAAAGAAACACGACTATTGGAGATCTCTACCATTTCCTCATGGGAAACTGGACGTACAATTTGGAAACACCAAACAATCGAGATGCAACATCTGATAATAAGATGGAAACTTGTATTTAAACAATTTCATTCATTCTCGTCACCCTCGCAGACAAAGGTTAAGTTGATCTACGTTCCCCAATGATATTACAATGCAATTAAGTTTTTCAGGAGGACCTTGGAGTTTATCGGAAATTATATCACCGTCAAGGAGATGGTTAAAGCCTCTAGCTTATGTTCAACCGATGGGGAGAAAAAATTACATGGTTATAAGGTGTGCAATTGCACCGGATTACATGTTTGATGGAGGAAACTTATTAAATCTGACGCCTGAAGTCAAAATCAGATTTATTCATTTCATTTTTTTGGAAATGGTTTTTGAAATAATCTTTAAGGAACTCTACAATTTGTATTTGGTACAATTGGGGTGGCATATATGTACAATTCATGCACAGCACACATGCGCATAAAAAAACGGAACCATATCCGCTAAAAATTTTCCATCACCACTTGGATGACATGGTGATGGACCATTATCCTACATGGAAAGGGGTTGAAATTAAAATTATCATGCATGGATTTATTTTCCAATTCTACTAGTAAGGTTTCTTTTCAGAATGGTCTTGGTACTATTATTACTTGGATGATACAATTTATTTGTTTATTTATTAATCTTTAAAATACAAATAATAAAAGGGAATGAATATATGCCAAAACAATAATATCATGAATATTGTTGGAGACAAAGTATGTCATATATAAGGAAAAGATTAAACAAGAAATATTTTTTATTTTGATCCAGCTAGTACATAGAAAGATAGATGTATAATAATTTGTATATTAAAATACAAGACAAAGAACTCCAGAGCAATTGTATGAGAGAAAAATACTTGGACCCAAAGGCGTTGTGAGTACTACCTATCTTTGGTCACTCTGGCGCAAATACATATATACTACACTTGCGCTATTTTTTTTTATTATCATTAACATTTCTCTATCAATATTCCTCTTCATTTATTTATCCATTGCCTGGTTTTTTTTTTGGTTTGATGATGGTGGAAACAAAACTCTTCCTTTCCTTCTCCACATAACTCGTGGATTTCATTACCATTTTATTGAATGAAAAGGTCAAGCCTTGCTCAGCCTTTTTATCAAATAATTGCTTGATAGATTTTCAATTCTTTGAATTTTTTTTATCACTAGTGAGTTGGTTGATTTATTTTTTGATTTATAGTGAAGCAAAAAAACCAAGAGCTCAATCAACAACCTGCACAAAAAATTTCACCATTGAAAGTAAGCATTAAATTAAATATTATGAATATCTATTTATTATTTGCTTTTTTAAACAGAATAAAATTTGTGTTTAATTAGCTTTATCTGAAAATGAGTGAATTGGTGATGTTCAAACATAAGACAGAACTTGGATGTGTAATATTTGTAATTTTGTAAATTTGACCTCTGTAACTTCTTTGTCACATAATGTTAACTTTGTCAGCATGCCCCAAATCTATATCAAGGGACAACTATACTTTTAACTTGAGGTATTTATTTGTTAATGTTTTAAATGTTCCTCTTCAAAGCAATAGCATATGTGTAATTAAGTGAGTGAGTCCACGAAAACGGGAGATATTATTCCCATAGTGTAATATAATACCTCTAGTTCATGAGTACAGACAGTAAGTATTATGATAAAAATTAATTTTACATATTGAACAAAAACTTACCATTTTTTTGATCATGATTTTTTCACCATCGGCAAAAAATACTCTATAATAGAACTAGAGATATTATATCACACTGTATTCAAAAATGGGATATTTTTTCGTGGACCAGCTAGTTACAGTTACGTAATTTTCTTTGTCTTCAAAAATTATTTGTGTAGATTTCGATGATCCGATCATTGAAAATTTTTGGTAATGGTTGTACCGCCCAATAAAAATTTTCTAAATACCAATCAATAATGGGTAAAAAATGTTTAGTGGCTTTGGATGGATCGAAACATTCAAATAATGCATTGGTTTGGACTCTTGAGAATTTGATTCAGCTTAATGACAATAACAATGACGAAGATACATTAATGTTGTTAAGTGTTGGTGTTTTGTATAATGATAATGAAATATCATCGTTTGAATATTCTGCTGTTACAAGTATTGATTAGATTTGGTTTGGTTTGGTTTGGTTTATCCGATCTAATTAGAATTGAATTGACTAATCGATTTGTTTGTTTGTAGGAAATTTATTAAATGTTGAGAATGATACAAAAATTGAAAAAGCCAAGGTTTTGATTAAAATGAATATTTATTATTATTATTATTATTATTATTATTATTATTATTATTATTATTATTATTTATAGAATTTGTTATTATTATTATTATTATTATTATTATCATTATCATCATCATCATCATCATCATCATCATCATCATCATTAGGTTGAAAAATTGGCAAAAGAAATTACAAAAAATGGTGAAAAAATGGTTCTTGATTATTACGATTCAAGAAATATTTTAGAAGATAAAGAGGTACAATCAATCAATCATAATTCATATTGAATTCTCTATTAATTAATTATATTTAATCATTTAATCATCGTTTATTAAATAGAAATCAATACTACCGTCTGTGCAGTCCTCAAATTTACCAATTATTTCAAATCCTCCAAAAATTCAACTATTCTTTAATTCAAGCTCTGATCCAGCTAATTCTGTAATTGATTTCTCAAGACAAAACAAAGTTGATGTATTGATAATAGGTCATAGAGGTTTATCAAGGCCTGATTCATCAAATTTGGGCAGTGTAGCTCAATGTTGTCTTCATTCTGCTAATTGCACCGTCATAGTTACAAGACTCAAATCATGATATTATTAATATTATTGGTATAGCTAAGTATATTGACATTTTGTATAGCGCATAGTTTATAGTGTTATAGTGTAATTATTATTTTAAAGCTATTCATAATAAAATTTCAAATTTATTTAAATTCTATCCCCAATATAAAAATATACAAGTATATATACACACGTTCAAGAGGGAGGAAGAGAGTAGAATTAACATACAATATTAAAAGTAGTAATGATGATGATGATGTATAGAAAATAAAAAAATATACAATACAAAAAAAAAAATACAATTCACAAAACAAAAATAATACGATAAATTCAAGAATTTTTGGATTGGCTAGATGTTTTTAATTGTAGCATGCGGGTTATAATCATTACTTGAAACACTTTGTATAGATACTGATGATGATCTAGCCACACCTTTATGTTTATGTCTCATACGGTAATTTGTTTCAAGCTTTTGAGCCAATCTAGACGCAACCCCAGCGAAATACATCTTTAAATTGTTATTATTACAATAATAATAATTAGTTTAAACATATTAACGTAACATGTTGTAGCCCCCCACTCAGTTATTTAACATACCCCAAATAAAATTGCAATAAACATCAAAATACATCTCATCCAAATCATTGCCGTTACATTCGAATCACAATGCGGTTTATATTCTTCCGTACATAGATCAACCTCTGATTGTCGATTAGTCGCTAGACTGATTATTATTACGATAGAAATTATCGTATAAAACACCACAAATGTCCATAATATTATCGAAAAAATACGGATTCCTCCCGGTGATTCCTTTAATTAACACTTAATTAGTTGATTGATTAATTGGGTTACGAAGGAATTAAATTATTAATATTATTATCAACTTACGAACGCAGATGCAATTATACCAAAAACATAAACTAATGCCATGATAATAAAACAAACTCCAAAGAATATCGTAAGTCCTCTTGCCATACCTGGTGCTATATCTATTATAGAACTCATTCGATTAAATTCAACGAATTGTTTAATAATACTAATATCAAAGTAACATTATAAAATGAACCTGATGGTTTTACGAAAAAACCAATAGCGCTCGCTGTAGATATGACCTATAATAATAAATCACATATTCGTTAATGCAATAAAAGTAGATAGACGAAAAAATTCCATTATTTCTTACCAAACTTATAAACGCAAGAAAAATTGTACCCGCTCGAATTGGAATGCTAAAAAAAAAAAATTTTATAATGATAAATGATAAAAAAACGCGTAATTTCTTTATTAACTATTACTATTATTTTGCTCGTATTATTTATTACATACCAACAGCAACACTCCATTTTTATTACTTTGAAAATTTTTTAACAAAAAAAAAACGAATTTTTATTTTTAACAAAATTTTTAAAAAACCAAAATTCATATGGCGTTCAAAGTTTTGTTTGAGGCTTGAGGCTTATTAACTAATAAAAACAATCGATTGTAATAGCCGTTAAATTGCCATCAAAATTAAATTAAACAATTATTTTTTTAATATTAATTATTTCACGAATTCTTAACAATAAACAAATTCTTGCCTAAATTCTTAACTACCTTTTTCTTGTGGCTTAGAAAAATATATTGGGCAGTGCAAAAATAACAATAATTTATTATAACATAGCCATACATAGCCACCAATTTAAATCCGTAGCAATATATACATTCATCAAAATAACGTTATTTATTTATTGCAATAAATGAAGAAAACCCCCTTTTTTCTTCCTCTTTCTTCGAATTATTTAGTTGTATTTAGATCATGAAGGTTTCCATTGCTATTAATAAATCTTCTTATAAGATCATTTATTTGTTCTGGAATTTGTTCATGAATAAAATGACCTGCATCTGGAATACGAATGGTTTCAAGATTCGATACATGTTTTGAAAGATTATCTAAACACAGATCACTTTCTAAGAATTCATCCTTTTCTCCCTAATGGTTTTTTTAAAATTACAATTGCAATTAGAATATTATTTCTCAAAAAAAAAAAATAAAAAAAAAAATTTTTTTTTTCATAAGTACCCAGATAACCAATGTTGGAATTCCTATAAACCCGACTTGCTTTATTCCTCTCTTTTCCTGTTCGTTGTAAAATCCCAACATTGCATTACTACGGTAATAATTCATTCCCCCTTTAATACTAGCATAATTTTCCATACAAGCTGCTGCTTTAAACATTTCGATATCTTCGGCTGACACGTTATTCATGGACTTAAAAAATTCATCATAGGCCGAAACATCTTTAAGCACAAACAATCTTTCAGGCAAATATGGTATCTTGAATCTAAATATATAATTACTCATACAAAATTGTCTAATACACGGTGTTAAGATTGCCCATGAATTTCTTAATGTTTGTCTAGGTTGATTGATCAATGTTTTTAAATTGTTGTAATGAAATACTTGTTTAAATCTTTCTTTAGCATTATTCTGCCACACCAGTGTATTAGGTCCATTCAATATTATCAGCCTATCAATATATCCTGATTTATCAGAATATTGATCCCATTCCCAACTTTGTGCTGCTGCTTGCCATGCCAATGCCGCACCCCTATTTTTTTATATAAAAATAATTTATTATTATTATATTATAATTTATGTTATTAATAAATACCAATTACTTACCAATCATGACCAACAACGCACGCAGCTCTACCATTCTTGGATAATTTTTGAATAAAACTATGAATATCATCTAACAAAAATTTGGAATCATATGCACTACGTTCAATTGGTTTATAACTTCCTCCATATCCTCTCTTGCAATAATAATGTATAATATATTAATAATAATGTCAATAATAATCGATCATTTTTTATATAAATACAAACCATGTCAACTGCTACTAAATAATAGCCAGTGTCCTTCAATCCTTCAAGTTGAAATCTCCAAGAGTACCAAAACTAATAATATTATTATTAATTATTATTATTACTATTATTGTTATTATTACTACTACTATAATTATAATTAAATACTATGTTTACTTCAGGAAATCCATGAAGAAATAAAATAAGTGGTCCTTCTACATTGCCTGCTTCAACATAATGGAAAAAATTTTCTTCGATTTTTAAAGTTTTATGTTTACCATAATTTGGGTCATTGCTGTATAATTTTGATTGTACTACGTTATAATATCATTATTAATTATAATATATTATTCCTTTCTTTACTTCACTCGTTTAATTAATAACTTACAATCATTTCGATCTTTAATTTTCCAAATATTTTTCCTAGTAATTATTAGTTCTTTCAAAAGTCGTAAGCAAGTTAAACATATACTTGTAAAACCAATGGTAAATATTAAAATATCCACAACAAATGAATTTAAAATTTTTATTAACATTGTGTATGTCCCTCCTCTCTCTTATTTGATTTATTTATAAAGATGAAAATTTTTTGAATATATATAAAAGATTTGCAAAATAACATGTGAAAAAAATTATACGCGAGTTATTTATAGAAATTAGAGTCACGTCGCGTGATCAAATTATCTAAATTGTCTAGTGGAAGTTTGTTGCTATATACACGAAATGTTATACAGCACCCATTGCTCCTGAAACTTCACCAGTAAATATAGTTGTTTATCTCTAAATTTTGAGATCAAGTTCAGACAGATCCAATTCAAATCCAGTTTATCACTTTTTATTGCCAGAATGTTTGCCGTGTATTGTAAAGTTATGTTGCATAATATAAAAAATTAGTGTGACATTTCAAATTTCCACTGTCTATATACACATTTTTATATAATTATTATGATTGGTCGAAATTTTACCATAGTAGAAATTTGTTTCATCCAATATGTTACACTGAGTCCTACTTTTTATTATGTTGTATGTGAAATTGAAATATTATGGAGTGAAATTCTGATTGGCTAATTTGAATTTCACATATGTAAATTTGAATTTCACATATGTGAATTGCGAATTCACATAATTTCATTTTCACGTACAACAATTTACAAAAACATTCAAAAATCTAAAGATTTCTTTGGAGATCTTTTTCACAAAAGGTGACAATGAATATTTTTAAGTAAATACTAAGGTTTTAACAGCTCAAGGCAAACTACACTTGATACAATGTGACTAGGCTTTTAATCAATATCAAAAAAAATTTTCCTTGGTTTTTTTTTATTAATAAGCATGCATATGTTTTTAAATGCATAATAATAATTTTACTCATCTGCATTCACAAGTTGACCTCTATAAGGTCACACCTCCACACCATCACACTTTTTGGCTGGTCACGTGCGTGTGACTTTACAGAGGTCTGACCGTAGTTAATGGACAAAAGAACGTTACAAAAAAAGGGGGAAGCATTTATATATAATCTTGTCTTTTTTATAATTCTTTCCAAGTGCGTTTTTTACGAATTTTGTTGAAGGTTAGGAGTCTTTTAATTACCCACCCAACCCACTCGGGTAAAAAGGGGAATAGATTCATTTATATACATATATCTTGATATGCGTGTATTTTATGTCATTGATAACAAGTGAATTCATTTCAACATCATAAACTGTCAAAGCCGTTCCAGTGTAGTATGTATGATGTGTAGTTCGATCCTTCTAAAAATTTTTTTTGTAAAAATTCAATGTTAACAATGATCAACATGAGATACAAATAAATTATAAGGATATTATTTTTAATCAATTTTAAATGAATGTAGAAAATCACAACGATTGTGTTGTAATGTATAATGATGACAGACCAATTCCAACACTTCCAAATGAGTTAACTGCCTTAGTATTTGAAAGTCTTGAACAAAGCATAAAAATTAAAATTGCCAGAGTTTCTAAAGTTTGGAATGCTTTTATTTATTCACCTATATTTTGGAAAAAAGTCATTTTGTACGATGCAAGTAAATTCCAAACCGGAACATTTGAACGTTTAAAACTAGTTGAAGAATTAGATGCTAGAGGTAGTAATTTAACTGATGCATTTATTAAAACGTTGGTTACTGGATCAGCAGGAACAACATTAAAAGGTAAACAGTATGCAATTTTTTCCTTTTTTTTTTTTAAAAATTTTTAAAAAAATTTTTTAATTTTTTAATTAATCTTTAAATAATAGTATTGGATATTTCTGTTAACAAGATTACAAATGTATCAATTCTATTCATTGGTCTTCATTGTTGCAACTTAATGAAAATTTTTATTGAAGGTTGCCCAGAAGTTACAGATATTAGACCTTTAAAACTTTTGGTCAATAATTTATCAGTTATAATAACATCATATTGTGAAGATATTTCAGATGCTTCAATTTTTCAATTATCATCAGCATTCAGTAAAAGCCACTTAACAAAATTAGATTTAGATGGATGTATTTTAATAAGTAATGATGGTATAAAAGAAATTTCCAAGCACCTTAATAAGTTGAAATATTTGGTAATAGATGGAAAAGGAATTGTTGATGAATCTATAGTTTCAATTTTTAAAAATTGTAATGAATTAGCTTTATTTTCAATGTCATTTTGTGAACTATTGACTGATATAACTTTATATGAAATATTAAATAATCTAAATTCAAATCTACTATTTTTACGATTGCGTAAGGGAATAAATTTCACAAAATATGGGTAAGGTGAATTTAGTATTTATGTTGATTTTAAATAAGTAAATTAATTAATTAATTAATTAATTAATTTCTTTGCTTTAATATTTAGGTTTAATGATTTTTTTAAAGGATTGATGATAAGAAGACATTCTTTTCGCTCACTTGATTTTTCTGAATGTCAAAATATTTCTGATTTATCTTTAAATTTTTTTTCACAACCTTTTCTAAAATGGTTAAGTTTAGATTGGTGTTGGGATATTACGGAATCTTCTATTTTAAAGATAATCGAAGCATCACCAAATTTGGAAGAATTGATGCTTACAGGTTGTAATATTAGTTGTGAGTCATTGACTGAAAAAGAATTTAAAAATTTAAAAATATTAAATCTTTGGTCATGTAGAAATGTAGAACCTGAAATTATAAAAACAATATGTAAAAACAATAAAAGCTTATATATTGTGGATTATTATGGAGAAGTGAATAAGGAAGGTAAAAAAATTGGAGATAAAGATAACATATTTATAATAGATGAAAAATTGGAATTAATGATAGGTGGAAGGGAAAGAAGATGGGGATTATTATGTATAGGAAATCCTTTAAGATTTCACAGGGATTATTCTATTTAATATTATTTTTTTTTTATAAATATTCTATATTTAAAATTATTAATATTGTACTAGTGCATATTTTACATTTAATGATAACTTAATAAATAATGAAACCTCATTTCAATGAATTATAATTAAAATTCACATCACAAAATTTTTACTTCATATATAAAAACACAGAATCATATATAGAATTTGTTGAAATACAATTTAGTAATTTTGTTATAACAAACTTTAAATGCAATTTCCTTATGTGTCCCATTGAAATGTATGTTATGGAAATTACTGTAAAATGGTTGCCATATCCAATGCTTTCACTATGTGAAAAAAAAAATTTTCTACCTGTCATATGGGCTGAAATTTGACATTTACATAATGATATATATATATTGTTACTGGCTATACATGCAAACCGGGTCTGATTCATTTCGTCGACAATCATTTCGTCGACACCCATTTCATCGAATGTTCATTTCGTCGAATGTTCATTTCGTCGAAAATTATTTCGTCACAAAAAAAAAAACTTAATTAAACAAATTTCTCCTCATACTTCCCACACACTCCGCTTTCCTCACCTAATTTCTTAACTAACTTCCCACACTCCTCATATCTACTCTTTCGGTCTCTGGTTCGAGGATGAATAATTTTCGACGAAGTAAACGCGACCGGCATGGGAGAAACGAATTGCAGATTCTCTTAATATTCCTCCAGAGTTGTGATAGCTTGGTCACGGATCCATTCTTACCCTAGAGGTAGGATCGTTGTAGGTGACTTTTCGTCTAACATGCCAGTAGCCTTCTCTGGTCTGGGTGTTGTGAGGGAAGATTAGTGAAAACATCCTTGACGATTGATGCAGTCTCGGTAAACTCCAGGGCTGGGAGAAACGAATTGCAGATTCTCTTAATATTCCTCCAGAGTTGTGATAGCTTGGTCACGGATCCATTCTTACCCTAGAGGTAGGATCGTTGTAGGTGACTTTTCGTCTAACATGCCAGTAGCCTTCTCTGGTCTGGGTGTTGTGAGGGAAGATTAGTGAAAACATCCTTGACGATTGATGCAGTCTCGGTAAACTCCAGGGCATCTTTCCCCCTCTCTGGAATTCTGTTGCATCATTGTATCATCAGGCGCGAGCCAGATTAGCCTTGTGCACACGAGGAACGTGTAAGAATAACTGTAAATGTTCAAGGTAGCGTGCGTGCTTCAACACTTGTCAAATTTCCGATAATCAAACATCACATATTAAAATGTTTCACTTCCTTGTATCGCCTTGACATTTTCATATTATTTAATATTAATAATATTAATATTGATTACGAAAAGCCAAATACCAGTCATTCGTTTACCGTCTTCAAGAATCTTATAATTACCCAGCGAGATCTGCTCCGCGCTTTGATTTAAAAGACATATCAATGCAAATTAAAAAAAAGTTACCTCTGGTTGGTTATTAACATGTTTCTTTTTAGAACCAATCATGCTAAACAACATCACTCGCGTTTTGTCATCTGTCAAAAAATAAATTGTTTTTCCAAAAAAAAAATATATTAATCGCATTAACAAAAAAAAATCAATCGCGCCAAAAAAAAAAATAATAATATGGTTGGCTCCGTCTAAAGACCTCCTATTGCTGCGCCATGCGGCCAAATTTCAAAATAGCAATTTTGTAATTCGTTCAAAATTTTTCAAAAAATAGGACTTCACGTGATTTTGGTTTTCTTACTGCCAAATTTAGATACGATAGTCAAGGCTAGTCTAAATTGGGTAATATTTCCTAAATTTAGAAATGATCCTAGCGGACAAATTCCTCGCGAGCATAGTAAAGTACATGTTTTAAAAAAGAATAGAACTCTACAAAAAATAATTTTATTGAGAAAATTTCTATTACATTAAAACCAAAGACATATTCTATCAACTAATAGAGCTATTTTTTTAAAAGGTAGGACGGAAAGTGACTTCTATACTTTTAAAATTTGCCCAAAATTTAGGAGGTCTTTAGACCAAGCCAACTATAATAATATTCGTAATACAACCTCAACTAAAATCAAATTATCTTCAGTTATAGCCGTTCTTGATTAAAGCTTCCTGGATAAAGTTATAAAGATCTACATCATATGGAATCTAGATGAGACATATACCTCACTCCTTACAGATATTCCGCTTTTTTTGGTCATGTTGAATTTGTTCATTAAAGTCTATTTTCCCACTTTTATGGAACATTGGGTTAAGATGGTAATGATGCTGTCCATTAAATTCAAAAGCTAGTTTCAATTCTTCATTGTATCCATCGAAGCTGGGAGAAACGAATTGCAGATTCTCTTAATATTCCTCCAGAGTTGTGATAGCTTGGTCACGGATCCATTCTTACCCTAGAGGTAGGATCGTTGTAGGTGACTTTTCGTCTAACATGCCAGTAGCCTTCTCTGGTCTGGGTGTTGTGAGGGAAGATTAGTGAAAACATCCTTGACGATTGATGCAGTCTCGGTAAACTCCAGGGCATCTTTCCCCCTCTCTGGAATTCTGTTGCATCATTGTATCATCAGGCGCGAGCCAGATTAGCCTTGTGCACACGAGGAACGTGTAAGAATAACTGTAAATGTTCAAGGTAGCGTGCGTGCTTCAACACTTGTCAAATTTCCGATAATCAAACATCACATATTAAAATGTTTCACTTCCTTGTATCGCCTTGACATTTTCATATTATTTAATATTAATAATATTAATATTGATTACGAAAAGCCAAATACCAGTCATTCGTTTACCGTCTTCAAGAATCTTATAATTACCCAGCGAGATCTGCTCCGCGCTTTGATTTAAAAGACATATCAATTTGATTGTGTTATACCAAACTGTAAAGAAAAATTAAAGCAATATATCAATGCAAAAAAAGATGTGTTTCATAAAATGGTTTTTGTCTATTCTAAACTCAATTGAAATCGTCTGTTTTACAACATAAAAAAGATCAACAATCGATTTTGTCACATGTGATAAAACGAATGTCCACTATGCTGTCTAATTATTTATGTATGGAACCCCCTATAGTTGGCTTGGTCTAAAGACCTACTAAATTTTGGGCAAATTTTAAAAGTATAGAAGTCACTTTCTGTCCTACCTTTTAAAAAATAGCTCTATTAGTTGAT